GATGCCTAATAGATGAGTGTTTGCTTTTCAGTTAACTCAGTGAGTAGAATATTTAAGATTTCAGTCAAATTTTTATGTGTAGACGTTTCTTCTAATGTCATATTTAAGTGAGACTGTTAGTATTAAGTTTGAAAGTGTACTTTGTGCAGATACACTAGTGGCGGGGGATTAGGAAGATGGGTAAGGTTTAATGGCTCTGAGGAATTTTAAACGGTGACTGTAAAAATTAGCTGCTTTTAATAACATACAATTAAGATACTGGAGTGTTGTTCTTGTCTTTTATAGATTGTAATTGGGAATAAAAAGCATTTAAAAAGTCCTAAGATGGTATCAGGGAATCTATAAATTAATTGGAAGCATCAAAGCATAGTTAGAAATATGTTGCTTGATTAGATTAGCTTTTAACTTTTCATAGGTTTAAGTTAATCCTATATTACAAGTGTCATGTAACTTCACAGAAATAAGAGTCTTCAAAGTATTTTACAGTTTTGCATTTTTAGTTGTACAATTACTGGATACTTCAAAGGCACACATGTTCTAAAGCTACCTCCCTATGTAAGATGCTGCACTAAAATGCTGACGATGAGCCTGAGGTCAACTTCATTTGGCCTGAAGCTTGTTCCTGGCTATCTTCCCACAGAGACGGTTCTGGCAGAATTTTTGTAAGTTGACATAAAGGGCAAACCAGGAAGAAATTTAGATCAAGAGGTGCAGTATCCGAGGTCCACAGAAACATCTCTGTAATCTGTAAGCTGCTAGTCGGGGGACCCATGGATTGTCTTTACTCTCCCATGTGAGGGGGAAATTCGGGTGGGCAGATTGTGACCTAAGCAATGGACCTTTTCTTGATAGATCTGAAGTTTTTCTGCAGTGGCCTTTTGGTGCTGGTAGAATACCTGCTGTATGAGAGAACTGAGTTAGTTCAGATGGTATTTTGGTAGGGAACATAACATCAGATTCTCTGCATATTAAATAAGTGAATTTCCTCACGAATTACAGGGCTGACAGTGTAATGATTGAGTCAGATAAGATGGAACTTTTCTGAACCCACAGGGCATACAGTCTGTGTGTACTGCTGATCATTAAAGGCAAAACCTACCAGCTTTCATCAGCTGGACTACCACAGAAGGAAAAGCAGAGGTCCTCCACTGTGAACTGTTCAGAACTTTCAGAAACATCAGATAACAGTGTTAGGGTCTAGAACCACCAAGGATCTTAGAATTACAATTTCGTTTATTGCAGATAAGTATACAGAAGCCTTCTACTTCCTCTTAGGTTTTTACCTGGCAGGATTTGTAGATAGGTTTTTCTTTGGGTCTCCAGCTCACAAAAAAATGACACAGAGACTTATTAATTATGAAAGCTTGGCCTATAGCTTAGGCTTGTCCCACTAGCTCTCATAACTTAAATTAACTCATTTCTATTCATTTATATGCTGTCACATGACTTGTGGCTTTTACCTCTCCTCATGTGTTGCTCCCTCTGCCTCTGGCTGGGGACTCTGCCTTTCTTCCCTGAGGACTCTCTGTTCAGAAGTCCTACCTTTACCTCCTGTCTAACTATTAGCTGTTTAGCTTTTCATTAAACCAGTCACAGTGACATATCTTTATACAGTGTAACCAAATATCTCACAACAAGGGTTAGAGTGCTTCAGGGATCAATTAGTAGGACCTAGTTTTGACACCCACCCCACCCCACACAATTAGTGAAAGTCCTTGGACTGTCTATAGCTTTAGGGGGTGGGGCAATTGAAGCAGTGGCCAGTATACTAGAACATTTATACCTGGACTTTTCCCTATGTTGTTTGAAGAGGAAACCCACAAGTGACTGGAGGCTTAGAGAGATCTGGGTTTCTATTTTATCAGTTCCTGTTTGTGAGGAAGAGAATAGCTCTCAGACACCAGAGAGTCAGAGAAGCCTGGAATTACTTCTTCCTCCGAAGAGAACTTGATGTATGTCCTCAGGATAGAAGGTTCTTTTCATCCCACTGTGACACAGTAGGAAGGTGTGCATTTCTGAGAGTGGTGCAGAAGACATGTGAAGTGGCCAGACAGAGATTCTAAGGATTTGACTTGAACGCTCCCCTCCCCCAATGAAATACTATCTTTATATTGAAGGGTGTGTTGATTTACCATAGTAGAGTGAGTGTAAGGCAGGGAGGATGGGCTTCGTTTTCTTTCAATAGTGTGTGCATGATTTCCCATTGATTTTGGTCTTAGCTTGCCCATGCTTGTGTGTAATGTAGTGTCTAGTGGAGCCCAATTAGCATTGATCTTTATTTCAATAGTTGAGACCCTGAGGGTTCACCTGCTGGAGATTTGTCTCTACCAAAAGGCATAGTCTCTTTCGAAGACTGATAGCATAATGGGCAGTCTTTTCTCTTTTAGTGTAACTCTGTAATGGTGACAAAAATCTATAGGCACAGGGTTCTTGGTTTAGGACCTCTTGAGATAAGACTTGAGAGGAAAACCTCTTGGTCTTTGACCGTGTAGCATTTTTTAGTCACATGGACATGAGGATCTGGATTCTTTTCCTTATTTATTAATTTTTTTTATATCTTATTTAGTTTGTGTGTGTGTGGGCATCTGGTGATCAGAGGAAACTTGTAGGAGTCAGTTCTCTTCTTCCACCATGTGGATCACGGGGATTGAAGTCAGGTCCTCAGGGCTGGTGGCAGGTGCCTTTAGTCACAGACTAAGCTGGTCCTCATCTTGTTCTTACTGCTCTTTTAAACTGCTTGACTTCGGTTCAGGCTTATGTTTCTCTGCATATTGCCAAGCCCTCTGACAAACATCCATAAAAGTCATGTCAGTGCCAGTAAGAAACACTAGTGCTTTGAGTCTGGTTAGCTTTGCTGTGTGATGCTTTTATTTATTTGCAAAGTTTTCTTTTTCTTTTTTTGGAATAACGAAGTTTAGAGAATTAAAAAGAGAAATACTCAAGCTGTGTTTTTAATGGAGATGTTTAACAGCGAGATTCCTAATCTAGCAGTGCAATCAGACAGTGAGTCATCTATTTGTTTTCCTGCTTACACGATTGAATAATAGACCATTCAGTCTTCTGTGGGAGACAATGGGAATTGCTTGCATAGGCCTTTGGCTTTTAGCTGTTTAGAAGCGGCTGTTGAAGAGGGGTCAGTATTTCCCTCAAGCATATGCCACCTGCTGGAGCTATCTCATGGGCCTGGTGCCTTGCTTTAGTTTGGGTCCTCCACGTTCTTGGAGGTCATTGGGATCTCCCTTGAGTTCTGATCCTGCCACTAAACTTGGAAAATCTTGGGCACAATAACATTTTATTAAGTTTGAGTAAGGAATGATTTGTGAATCAGGGACACCAGACTTAGAAGAGGTTTAGTATTCTTGTTTCCTTGTGTCAGAGGTAAGTATTTATAGGAAAAATGTGGGGGTAAAATAAAGCAATTGATTGTACTTATGAAGTTGCCTTTTATGGTTTACTTTGTTGGAACAGCCCTAGTCACATAATCATTGTATGTTAGTTGGGGGCTTACGATTGGCTGAGGTTAATTTATGTTTCTGTCTAACAAAACGAGAAATGACTAGAAATTTTGCTGCTTTTTTTTTCTTCTTCAGTTTAAGCCAAGTTGAGACTATTTTTTTTTTTTTTAATCACCTTGGACAATTTTAAGGCCAGGTTGGTGTCACTTTACCAGGGTCCATGGACATGGGAAATGACCTGATGGACAGAGACGGGCTTTATTCTGACCACAGAAAGTACAGTGGGGATTTGTAACAAGGAGCAGAGGTGAGGTCAGAGGATAGAACATGGCTAAGAAAAAGCATAGCTTGACAGGACCACTGTCAAAGTAGGCCACAGGAAGGTGTTCAGGATACCAAGGATGGGAGATTTTCTCCAAGATGATGTCACAAGAGTTTTACTCAGAGGGGGTTCTACAGGGACAAAGGAGGACCGGTGGGCCCAATTAAGCAGTGGACTTGGAGCCTGGATTAAGGAGAAAGTCTAGGTCCCAGGACATTGTCTTATGATTTGCTCAGTACATTCCACAAATAATGGGGCCATTGTTGAGGATAACACAGGGGCTCCAGAACCAGAACAGCCTGCTATGCTCATGGCCCGTGCTCTCCTTATCCCCCCCCTTTTTTTTTCTGTTTTGTTTTGCTGGATGTTGCCTATTGCCAGCCCAGCTTCTCCTTTTCTCTTAATAATTCTGCAGTCCCAAGGCTTTTTAGGAATTCTCTTAGGCCTTTCTCTGGGCTTGCTGTTTTACTTCAGATTACTCTCCAGTGCACTGACATTTACAGCTTGACTAGCATCTGTGGCTCTAACAGGAAATGGAGGAGGGAGATACATAACCCCTCTTCCTGTTCCAGAGGAACAGGTACTGAGAGGGAGGACAGACAGGCAACCCAGCCTGCAGGCTTTCTCCTGGATGCATGGTGTTATAATGCTTGGATTTCCTTTAGCTCTGTCTCCATGGTTATGCCCCACCCTTCACAAATCAGGAAGAAAATGCCAGCAGCTATTCTTATTGGAATTCCTCTTATCCCAGAGAATCTTCACAGCGATGAGGAATAGGCCCAACAATTCACTGTGGGACAAATAAATATTACTTCTAACAGAAATGGAATGTTGCCTGCTGATTTGGCCTTTCTCTGAAAGAATAAAGCTTTTTTTCCCTTAGCTATGGTCATGATTAGTGAGTCAGACCCATATTACCAGGACACATTTTTAAAAGAATGTGTGGCAATGGGGAGTTTCCCCACCCAGTCTGCAAAGTCAGAGTGTTGTGCTCAGTGCCTGTCAGACAGACACACATTTGTGATTTTTCTACATTTATATAGCATATCAAGCCATTCCAGTCAACTCTCTAGCAAGTGTGACAACAAGCAGATGATTCTGTGTTTGGTTTCAGAATCTTGACCTCACTTTAATTTTGGTAGTTGCTTGTTTATTTTACTTACTCATTTAAATTTTACCTTATAAAATTGTTGCTTACTCAAATTTTTTTTTTGTGTGATTAGATTACAGCTGGAATTAAGGTCTTGCAAAACACAATACTGCAACAGGATAAGCGACTGGCCAAAGCCATGGTGGGTGATGGTTCCCTTCATATCACCTTGCTAGTGATGCAGTTGTTAAATGAAGATGAAGTAAACATGTGAGTAGTGTGTCTTTCTTGAATATTATCTTCCAAGTTATTACTCTACTGTGAGTAAATAATAGGCCAGCCCAAGGAGGCACCGAGATTCTAAAGAAATATTCTTTATCCTGATTATCTTGATCGATAGTCATTGTACAGAGGGTTTTTACTGTTTATTTTATGGAACAAAGGATAGTCTCAAACTTGAAGCATCAACTGTGGCCTTGGACTTGGTGATTCTCTGGCCTCAGCTGCCTCAGGGCTGAGGTTTCAGACACGTTCCACTATAGTCTCTTTATTTTTATTTTTTATTTTTTTGGTTTGTCCAGACAGGGTTTCTCTCTGTGTAGCCTTGGCTGTCTTGGGACTTTCTCCATGGACTGGGTGGCCCGTGTTTGGAGGGAAGTGTGTGGAAAAGAAATGGCAGGCAGAAAAATTAAAGATACTAAGAAAGAGACACAGAATAGAGTCAGGAGGGCATCTAGTGAGTGCTGAACCACCCACGTTTATTGCACACAGTCTTTTTATACTCCCATCAGAAGAGGGGGAGTGGCAAAAGACAAAGAGCAAGCAAGCATTATTGCCTTCTCAATATCCCAAACATCAAGTAACTATCTCTGAGTTAAGGAGTCTGTTCTTTAGGCAGGGCATGCAGAGACCACATCCTACACCAAGCATCCTGTTGCATTCATACTCTTTGGCCAGACATCTTTATTGTTTCACCTTGGAAGAGCAAGGGCAGGCAAAAACTGTGACCTTAAATCAAAATGGAATGAGTTGATTCTGTGAGTTCCCACAGTTCCTCCTTTTTAATTATTTTTATGACACCAGCACTTCTGTCACAGGACAGACATCTGTGACTGTCTTAGGTTGTCTTTCTCGGCCTGTGGGCAGGGAAGTCTGGGGAGAGAATGCCTTCTGTGCTCCATTCTTTTCTCTTAGGTCTTCAGCTGGTTTCATGAAGCCGGCCCACATTCTGGAGGAGCAGAGCTGTTAGCTTCCAAGTGATGAATGATCCAAGGTGTGGCCTCTGTTGGGCATCTAAATAAAACCAAATGGATCAAGTTTTCTGGGGAGACTTTTTTTTTTTATGTGAACAATTAAAAAAAAGTCTCTGAGCTAACATTTTTGTTCTTCCAATATTGTGTAGTATGCTAGGTATCTAGATTATCCATTGCCTGTCCATATTCATTTTTATTCTTCAGAGTCTATCATCTTTTTTTTGTTTTGTTTTGTTTTTCGAGATAGGGTTTCTCTGTGGCTTTGGAGCCTGTCCTGGAACTAGCTCTGTAGACAAGGCTGGCCTCAAACTCACAAAGATCTGCCTGCCTCTGCCTCATGAGTCCTGGGATTAAAGGCGTGTGCCACCAACGCCCTGCTAAGTTTTATCTTTCTTATGGCCTGTTTTAGTTGATAGTTCCATGCCACCTGAATGTCTTGAGATCCCTCAGTCTGTCTGAAGGAACCGGCTTCCCTTTTGGCAGCCATAACAGCCGAACACATGCTTGCCATAAACCTGCCTTGGTCACGTAGAGGTCAGATGCCTGTCTCGTGACAAGGAACCCATCAGAAGTTAGTCACTAGAAAGTCAGATGCCTGTCTCATGACAAGGAGCCAATCGGAAGTTAGCTGGTGGCGCTATGCTTTACGACCCTGGGTGTGCTTTATGGACAATTTCACAGCAATGACGTAGAGAGCATAGCAACCACCCTGGGAGGGCCTATGAGCCATAACAACCAGTTGACCAATCAACACAGGGCAAGCCCTCCAAGCCTGGAGGCACACCAATCGTAAGCCTGTGCGTACCCCTAGACACTCCCCTTACGCTGCCCTAT